TGGTACAGATAGGAACTGGAAACACAGGGAATCCAGGACAGATGACCCCTTCAGGACCAGAGTGGCGATAACAGGAGGGTGGAGGGTGGGATGGAAAGGGGGAACCGATTACAAGGATCTATATATAACTCCTCCCTGGGGATAGACAACAGAAAAGTGGATGAAGGGAGACGTTGGAGAGTGTAAGATATGACAAAATAATAGTTTATAAATGATCAAGAGTTCATGAGGGAGTGGGGGGAGGGGAATCAGAAGCTGATACCAAGGGCTCAAGTAGAAAGCAAATATTTTGAGAACGATAATGGCAACAAGTGTGGAAATGTGCTTGACACAATGGATGTATATATGGATCGTGATAAGAGTTGTATAAGCCCCCAATAAAATGATTTTTTTAAAAATCTGAAGCAGTCTTTTGCTGATTTGTTCAATGCAATACACAGTTAGCTTTCTTAACTACTGCTTTCATGGGCGTTGGTTGTAGGTCCAAGTATATCCCTAACAACTTCAATTTTTGCTCTATCGTAAAGTTCCTTTTAGGTACAGCTGAGAATGTTTGCTATCCTTTAAAAAAAGCGTTTTATTATCATATAATTCACATGTGATACAATCTAATATTTCAATCACATTAAGAAGAATCACAAGTTTGAAACAGTTCTTCATTCTTGGACCTTATCATTATTATATCCCATTTCCCCTCAACATCCCCTGCCATACTCCCAAGAAACCATTAATCCAGTAATATTTCAAAAAGTCTCCCGTAGGTGAGTGCTGGGTATATGGAAACTGCATTATTTCTGAAACCTTTCTCCCTAAGTTTGAAATTATTTCAAAATGGAATAATTGAGTCAAATGTCTTATTCAGAAGCAGTCATATGTTCAGGTCTTACCACCCTTTCCATTTAGCTGGCTGGAAGGCAGGGCGTTCTACAAGAATGAGAGAGAGTTCATATATGGCAATCGCCAGACACCGTTGAACTGCATGTTGTGGTTGTTGTACCATCCAATGGTTCTGACCCACAGGGACTATATGCATAACAGAAGGAAACATCGCATGGACCCTGTGCCACCCTAACAATTGTTCCTATGAGTGAGTCCACTGTTGCAGCCACTGTGTCCGTCCATTTCCTTGGGGGCCTTCCTCTTTTCCACTGCCCTTCCACTTTACCAAGCATGAGCTCCTTCTCCAGGAACCAGTTTGTCCTGACAACATGCCCAAAGTATGCAAGACAAACTTTCGCCATCCTTGCCTCTAAGGAACATTCTGGCCACACTTCTTCTAAGACAGATTTGTTTGTCCCATTAGCAGTCCATGATACTTTCAACATTGTTCTCCAGCACCACAATTCAAATACATCAATTCTTCTTTGGTTTTCCCTTATTCAGTGTCCAATTTTCACATGCATATGAGGCAATGGGAAATACCGTGGCTTGACTCAGGCCCACTTTAGTCCTCAGAGTAGCATTCTTGCTTTTCAATAAATACGCTAACGAGGTCTTGTACATCAGATTCGTTTACCTAATACAATGTGTCTTTTGATCTCTTGATTGGTTGCCATGAGCACTGATTGTGGATTCAAGCAAGAAGGAAATCCTTGATAACTTTAACCCTTTCTCCATGTATCACTGTGGTAGTTATATAATTTTCTGTCAATTTAAGAGGATTAAGAGTAAAGAGGTGGAGTCTGGCTTGTCAATTAGGTCATAGCCAGGGAGGCCTCTATGTAGGTATGGCCTTCTTCTGAGGATTCTGGAGAAGCCACATGGAGACCCCTGTCAGTGCTAAGATGCTTAAATGCCACTGGATCCACTGACTGGCCTGTGATATTCCTGCATTCGGCATCATTGTATGTGCTTCATAAGTCTGAAGAGGACCTTATAGATTAGTATTGGGTACATGGGCTAATACCGGACTTAGGAACTGATCTGGACTAGGCTTGGATGTTTTCTTAATGTACAATTACTCTTTACATAATGCGGGATGCAAAAAGATTCCTCCCCTGGTTGTCCCCCCCAAATATGTGCCAAACCTAAGACACTCCTTGCTTCACATGGTAAACAACTGTACACTTGAAGGTCACTGCAAACTTCTTAGAGGTTATGTTCCCTATGGGTTATCAGCCATCTAAAGCAATCAGGCTGTATTTATATATATTTATAATATATATAAATAGGCCCTATTTATATATATTTATAATATATATAAATAGGGCCCACTCCCTTCTGAAAAGGATAGTAGACTGTTTCCCTGAAGGAAAGCCCAGGGTTGTGCCCACTCAAGGATGACCAAGGTTAGGATCCCAGAGTCATTAATTTGATCTTTAAATGGGTTTAGGACACACCTGGAAAGAAGGCTCTGAGAATATAAGCCCCACCCAGTGCTTTGGAGTACTCAGGATATTTGCATTCAAAGAGACTTGCCTAGGGGATTGTTGACAGATTGAAGGAAAAAAAGAACTCTCTGGATTTTTGAAGTTTGAACTAGTGGTTTTTAGTCAGAAGCTGGAAAAAATCTGGCACCATGAAGAAAACTCTTATCTAGGACTGAACATTAAAGGAAGTCTGTGGCAGCCTGAAATACTTGCTAGGTGATTACCTGGATGCATTTTTTGAGTGAAAATGAGAGAAATGCAGCAATAAAGAGACCGGTTGTGTCTGGCCACTGACACGGGTGGACCTGTTTTACAAGGAACTAGAGGAGAAGATGAAAGCTGGTTGACTGGTCTGAAGTTCATGACCTAACACAAGGGGGCTAGAATTGTTGAGAATTTGAGATGGGTCCATGGTCTAAAGGCAAAGTAGCCAATGGGTACCCTGGTGAGGCTAAGTGAGGCAGCCCATACTGAGTTGACCAGAACTTGACCAGATGAAGACTTTTGAGCCAGTGAACCAGTGCACATTGCTACTGACTTTATGGATGGCCCATGCTGATTTGACTTTGCTTATGAATGTGGATTCACACAGTTCCAACTGGAATAAAGATTCTTCAGAGAATATGATTGTCTCCTCAGAGCACTGGGTTGATGTAAGTGGGTAGAATAGAAATTGGACACCCCAAATGGGGCAAATGAAGGCATGAAGTGGCTGGTTTATAAATTTTCATAGGTGGGGGAATATATTCATACGATTATAGGATTAAGGTGTGTTACTTAACTACAATTGTTAGTCATTGGGTATTTTTGTTTTGTTTACTTATAGAATGTTATCTTTAAATGAGGGTGGCACTTACTGAATAGTATGCATTTTAGTTTTATCCTATTAGGTACAGATATTTTATAGTTTGTTTGAAAATTGTATATGGCTAAAGAGTTGGATGAAAGTGTCAAATTGGCAAGGGGTGGTCTGTGGTAATTATATAATCATTTATCAATTTAAGAGGATTAAGAGTGAAGGAGTAGAGTTTAGCCTGTCAATAAGGTCACAGCCAATGAGGCCTCTGTGTGGGCATGGCCTTCTCCTGAGGATTCTGGGAACTCCAGTAACCTCCTTGGAGGCAGGAGACTCTCTCTGTCTGCTCACTGGCACATGGAGCCAAACTAGTGCCCTGAGCTGGAGAAATCACGTGGAGACCCCTGCCAGTGCTAAGATGCTTACAACACCACTGGATCCACAAGACTTTCCACTCACTGGCCTGTGATCTTCCTGCATTTGGCATCATTGCATGTGTTTTGGGAGTATGAAGAGGACTTTATAGATTGGTATTGGACATACGGGCTAATATCAGACTTATGGACTTGATCTAGACTGGGCTGGAATGTTTTCTTAATGTACAATTACTCTTTATATAAAGCTCTTTCTGAGCTGGGAGGCAAAGGGTATTTATAGAGCTCTAGATAAAGACATGTACATATACAAATATATGATATGAGGACGGGGAAATAGATCTATGAGCCTACATTTATAGGTTTAGTATTAAGGTAGCAGAAGGACATTGGGCCTCCACTCAAGTAC